CCCCACCCCCACTCCACACACACACACACACACACACCGACACCAAATGGTCTGGTTGCATCATTAAAAGCTTCCTGTGAAGTCCGCAACTCATTTGAAGTCCACATTATGGCCTCCCACTCCCAGTGCCTGCCCCTCCCCCCCATGCACACCCTCAGACACTCACTGTAGATGGACAGGGGATAGTCACAGATGTATTGATTGTTTGCAATTAGAGTTTGCACTACTTCGTATTTGCCCTCATCTGCCATTGTCAGGTTGCTGATCTCCAGCGAATAGGTCTGGCCGTAGAGTCTCAGTCGCCCTCTGTATCGCTCGTCCTGCACATCAAGACGGGGCAGGGCTCCGGGCGCCCCCGGTGTGACGACAGCAAGAGGCACCGTTCTGCCTGAGGCTTCGTCCTGGCGAGGGTTGGGTGCGGACCACCTGATGTTCTTGAACATCTCCTTGGAATTAAGCGGGAGGACGACTGATTCTCCCAGAATTCCATTCACCCCTTTGGGGGAACAGCGTGAGAAAGCAGGACTTGTGTCTGACAACACAGAATAAAAGGGTCCAGGAAACAGACCAAGACCAACCACCCCTGCCCCTGCCCTGCGACTCCCTCCAGTCACGGAGTGCGAATTACAAAAGCCCTTTGCTAGCACCTCACTGGTTTGAGTCCCTGGGCCCCTTACGCCCATCCGTGAATTCTCAGGCCTGTCTTAGACGGGAGGTCAGACAAGGGTCTCTTCTGGCCTTGGAACCCCTGAATCAAGCCACATAGCATGCTGTAGGTAGGAGTCCTGTCCCTTTAAAATTTCTCCTCTCCTGTGGGTGGGTGGGGAAATTTCCTTTCACACAGGAACTCAGTGTTACCCAATGGCATTCATCATGCAGGATTGGAGGAATTTTTAAAGGGCCAGTGATAAATTATATCCAAGTGGGGAAACTGAGGCACAGAGTGGTGCAGTGACCTGCACAGGATCACTGGCAGAGTTGGGAACAGGAGGGGAGGGTTCTGGGGCCGTGAAGCCAGGCTGCGGGTTTCATCCCCTGGCCACCTGTTCCTTGCTCTCCCTGCTGCCTCTGCTGGGGCA